GTCACCTTGATTTTGAACAATTTGGGTTGTGTTAAGGATGCCAAGTTGGTGAACAAAATGTTCGACATTATTATTTCGGAACAGGTTCGTCGTCAAGATAAATCGGCTGCCCTCTCCAGTTTGTACAGTGAAAATAGTGAAAATGCTGAACGCGTTTTCGATTTGATTGCTGCCAAACTTGATGCTGTTGTTGAATCGTAAGTTCACAACTCCTTTAAAAGACAACCGGAAAATTTATTAATGTCCGTTATTTCTTTTTTTATTACAGCATGGGTAGCTATTCCACTGTTGCCAGTGCCATCTCCAACATTGCCTCCCGTTTCACCACCACCGAACAAGAAACCAAATTGAAGAACTTCAATAACCAAAACAAATCGAAATTCGGTGCCTCGGCCCGTACCTTGGAAAATGCCGAAAAGACTGTCGCCGAAAATCTATTGTGGGCCCAAAACAAATTGGGTCCCTTCAAGCAACATTTGCAAAACTACGGTAAGGGTGGCAGCGCCAGCTTGACTGGTTTCACTGCCCTGACCATGGTCTTGTTTGCCGTTTTGGCACGTTTCTTGTGCTAAGTTGGGAGGAGGAGTTTGGGTATTGACCTACCCAATAGTTAGTTATCAATTTGTTTTAAAATAATAAATTGTTGTTTAGTATGTAATTTATATTAAAAACTTAATAGGCGAAAAATAGAAATTTAAATATTAAAAAAAAAATTGGTTAAATGCTGTTGCTTAAGAGGGTTATTCAAAGATTTGGGCCGTTAAATGGCAGTTGTGAATAATATACGGGCTATGGTAACGTCCAATAATTTTATACAACCTATGTTGCCCTTGTTTCTAAGTGTTTCTTATCTTAAAAAATTTGGGCCTATAAAATGTTTTCGATAGTAAAAATGCAAAAAAAAAATCCACACGTGTTCATTGGAAAACCAAATTAATCGAAGAGAACATCCTTCACACAAACCAATACTATTATATGTAGGGTTGCCTGGTTCATATTCTCAAAAGGCTGGACAATACAAAAAAATGGACAAAATTAAATACGTAGAAATTGTTTAACAGTGAACTTTTTGTATAGTTTTTGGAAATGATCGAATGGATCAACAACTTTATCTTCGAACTTGATTTACAGTTGGTAAAAATACGACAATGTGCAGAGTTTGAATCAAATCGACAATTCCATTCCCCGCTTAATATTGGATTTATAAAAATTTGCCATTTTGATACTTTGTGGGAGAGGTCCAGAAGAAGTGGCTCCTATCTTCGAACTTGATCTAGGATTGCTAAAAATATTACGAATTTTAAAGTTTGTGTCAAATCGGACATTAGATTCGCTTAATATTGGATTTTTAAAAATTGAAAATTTTGACAATTTTAAGGGTAGGTACTAGAAGTAAGGCACCGATAAGTCCTATTTTTCAATAATATTCAGGCTTGGTAAAAATATTTGGTTGTGCAAAATTTAATTCAAATTTGATAGTTCTTTCGCATGATGTTATAAAATTAATTTTTAGCAAAAGGTTAATCATTTTGTGCGAGTAGACCCAGTAGAAGTGTGCCGATATTCTCCATCTTCGAACTTGTTTTAAATTTGGAAGAAAGTTTGGATTAAATAGGATAATTTATCTGTCCATCTGAGCATGTTAAATTGTAAAGAAAATTACAGGTCACATTTATGATTCGAATGAAATGAAATTTGGCAAAACTTACTTATTTGACCCTATGAAAATTCGAAAATCGCTTCGGACTTAGATATAACTATGTTGTGCATAGCGTATTATATTCAGTTAGTAAATATAGACACGACGTTAAAAGATATTAAGGTTTCGTCATCGCTGATGTAGGCTTCTTTAATCCTTGCCACTGGATCCAGTGCGTCTCTGATGTTATATTTTGGATCCTTTGTCAAGTTCTTTTTTTAAATATCTACTATATACTTTAAAAGTCCATACGTCCATAAGTCGATTAACATATATGTCCTAGCAGAATTCCATCTTTATGAATTTTTGGCCGTAAATTCGTGGTGCAACAGCTGTGTTCGTAGTCATTCTATTTTTCTGCATAGTATCAATCATATTTGAATTATGTGTTAAAACTTTAAATAGATCGTTGCCCTTAGAAGAATTAAAAGAATTGTCTAGTCAAGCTCGAAAGACTTCTAAGGATTGAATTGGCATTTCCGTGCCGACATTCTTAGATTCCTCGATCTTGGCTCCCTTATTACATTGTACATCATTGATTATCAAAGGAGTCGGTGGTAAAGAGAGCCCTACTGTTCCTTCTGTTGTTTCTATTATGTTATCACAATTTTTTGTCGATTTGAAAAACGTGCATATTGTCTCAGTATACAATATATTTTTTGCAGCATGATTTGTTGTAATGTCTTGGAACCTTTTTCCATTTGTTCTGAATGTCATTAGTGTTTCCGCTAGGTTGTTGCAATCCTTTCTAAGTTGTGTCACCCGATTTTATTTTACCTTGTACTTGAAAGATTTTTATGTTAATATGTCTATGGTTACAGAAGGTGTACTTTTGTGAGACACTTCATTTTTGGACCACGTCTATTAGGTGTTGTTATATCTAATACCTCTTCTCTAATTTTATTAACAAAGGATGGTTACATGTCGTTACATGTTTCCTTTGCATAGTCATCTGTAACTGCATCTTTATACATCGTTTGCGCCATCGACTTATTCACAGAACATTTTCGAGGAGATGCGTTAAGCGGTTCTTGTCATATTGTAGTATTCCTATCGCTTAAGTGGGCCGCACACGTCAAACGTGTGTGTTTGTTCGGTGTGAATCGAGGCAATGTAAAACGTGTGTGGTGTTCATACCGAAGAAATAAATATTATTAATTTTAGTTACACATTTCCTTCAGTTTGGGAAACAAAAATTTTTTACCCGGAATAAAAAAAGGATTAAAATAAATTTATATTCAATAAAAATGTTCGGTCTATTATGAAATGGAGTTTTGTGGTGATATTGGAGAGATCGGTGATATTTACACTTACGAGAGAGCACGCTTGCGCGGTTTTGCCACATACGGGTCTTATAATAAATCCTGCCGAGTCGGTCATCTTCGAGGGTGTCTCTGTCTCGCTGTTTTTTCCTACCTCTTGTAAAATCCTTGCTTTCCCAATCATAAGGAAGACAGCATTGGTCAGTGTAGCCTTTGATGACTTGTCCACGCCTACCACCAGGAGAGTCTCCTGTTCGTTCATATCTATGGATGACTTCAAATTTCTTCACCAACAGTGCCTTGTAGACTTCGATCATTCATTCTGATGTGAACTCGCTGACTCAACCTTAAATTCGCAGCAGTACAGATTCTCCCTGCCGGAAATGCTTCATGATCATAATAATGACCACATCTATCACATCCTTACAGGTCTCCTTTTCTAGTTTACCTAACGTCAATTCTCGTCGTTCACTATGGATAATAGCTCGTCTCTATAAGATGGTGGCACCTCAGCAATTGTTGCTATTCTCCCACTTTTTCATAAAATCTGGTTAGTCCTTTAGGGAAAATTCCGATGTACAGCTCATCTTCTGGATACTATATCTTTTGGTTGGCTCAGCTTTATCTTTAAGCTCTCTTTCTATTTTGGCATCCACATACTCTCCCTGAGAGTTTATCCCGCTTGTTTATCCGGTTCATCCTGGCCAGTTTCCTCCAGATAGCCTCGTCTGTCTCGGAAGGTTGGGTCGAATTACTGAATAGAAGAGCTCACCTCTGTAAGATGTCATTCACAATTGTTGTTATCCTATTCTTAATTCGTAAATAAATGTTAGTCCTTTTGGGATTCTCCTAACGTCAACCGGATATAAGAGTCAGCTTTTACGCCCTCAATCACTGGATTGTCGTGGCAGACTCTTTCAACTTTGGATTGGCTCCACTTTATCTTTAAATCAGCCGACAATAACCTCTTTTTTGAGGATTTGGTATTTGGCTTAATTCTCTTCGCCGTTTCCGAGGAAGTGGAGAGAATGTTAGGCTTATCCTTCGCACTTATTTTCCCAGTTCATCCTGGTCAGTTTCCGGCTTTGTGCCATAGGTAGCAATGCCTTCCTTACTTCTACCATCATCTTATTAGCCTCTTAGCTTCTCCAAAATTATAATGTGGTTATGCTGGTCTTACTTTCGTGTTCAGTTTCGAAAATTGAGTTTGAGAGTGGAAAAAGTGCAGTTTGTCCATAAACTCAGATCAATTTTGTCTGTTTGGCTACATGCTAGTAGCGATAACATCTACTACGTGCTACTTGCGATTACCTCTACATTTTTGAGTGAGGTCTCCGAAGAAATTAATCAATAATGTAAATATTTGCAATATAAATACTGCGTGCAAAATTTGAATCAAATCGGATGCTCAATGATCTTCATATGAGAATTGTTGACCAGGAGGTTCCGTGAACGAGTACACTGATATGATTCACATTCAAGCAAGTTTCGGTAAAATATTACAATGTTTAATGCATGGGCCAAATCGAAAATTCCATTCGATTCGTATTTGTTAAAGAATGTTATGGAAAGTATCAAAAATTGTGGTCCGATAAGGGCCGCCTTCGAACTTCATATATGTTTGTAGGTTTTTATTCATAATCAAAATCTCTGCGGGTTTAATTTATTTTATTTTAATTTAATATTATTACTTTACCCAAAAATTAATATACCACCCTCGACGAGATGGGGGTCTTCCCCGATATGAACTTGTTTATGTCGATTGGTCAATGCCGCAAAAGCAAACCAAAATAAAAAAAGCCAAAGACAAATATCTTCCGTACTTGTTTTTGCGTATTTAACGAAACAATACTCTCTTTGCAAATCTAATCGCGTTCATCGTTCAATGTTAACAATTTATGACTCGCGACTAGCTTTCGATTTAGCTGAAAGCGTTTGCCCCCAGTCTATATCAACATTTCGTCGTGAGCAAACAAAAAATAAGCAAAGAACGGAACGGATCGTACAAAATTAGACGGTGTTTTTTTTTTGACATTGAAATGAAACGTTTTATCATCCACTTGCTGCTGCTGATATCGGTGGCGGCAAGTCGTACTGGTGTTCTAGCACAAGATTATCGCCTACCCAAAGTAATTATACCCGATGCTTACGATATTGCCATCAAACCTTATCTACAGGCAGGTGATGGCAGCGACAAACAATTTACCTTCGATGGTGAGGTCAACATAACTCTGCATGCCATTGAGGATAAGGTACAGCAGATTACATTGCATAAGGATTATATTGAAATTTTGGATACGATCCTTTATGATACTGAGGGAAAGGTGGTTGAAAGAGTTGGGAAGGAGAAATTGGTGTACGAGTCAATTACCGATAAGCTCACGGTACCTTTGCAAACCCCATTGACGAAGAATTCGAATTATGTTTTGTATTTCAAATATGTTGGACAAATACGCAGCGGCTTGGCTGGCGTATTCCGCGGTACATATGACAATGAAAAGTAAGTTGAATATTTTTGGAATATTAGCCTATGAAATTTCACCTATATTTGAAATTATTATGACCTACTATTAACACCTCAGAACCTTTATGATTCGAATTTTGATAGTTCATGGGTAATCGAAAATGTTATTGGGTGGAAAGGTTAGGTTAAATGATGCAGAACGCCGAAATAATTCAACATTCATCCATTGCATTCATTCCGGACACACTCGGTATAAGATTGAAATATTCGTGAAATGTCCGACCAGGTAGTATTGGCAGTTTCGCAAGCGGTCATCTTCCATATTTCCTACACAGTAACCACACTAAATCACACAAGGAAAACCTGGGACTGCCATCTAGTGGTTGAGGATGATGTAGTGGAGTGTCTCAGACTACAAACCGATGGGGAGACATTACCATCCCCTTCCCATGAAATACACCCTAAAAACTCGCCTCCCAGAGGAATAGCCAACATTAAATGAGCAGGAACGGTTGTTATTGACATATGGCGTTTGTTTTTATCGATCTACTGTAACCTGTCCTAAGTGATGGGGCTACCATCTATCGCTGACTAGAAACAACGCCACCTTGAAGTTTGTACGGTGGTTGTTAGGTGACATTGACATTTTCCAGAATGGAGATTGAATATTTGTTAAAAAGAGATTATCATTTCCTTCCCGATGAAATGCATCCGAAGCCACCTAACATCCCAATACTCCGCAACAACATCAACACATGACGATAACACAAAAATGATCGGATATAGCGCCACCCAGAAAAAAGGGCAACAATAAATAACCATGGATTCCAACCACCGCACAAATTCCTTGCTATAGACTTATTGTGTGTTTGTGTTTCGATTGGTCTGCTGTAGCATGTCCTAGGTGATGGGGCTGCCATCTATCGTTGACTAGAAACAAAGCCACCTTTGAAGTTTTACAGTGGTTGTAGAGTGGCATAGTGCAGGGGTGATCGAATGTTTGTAAAAATATATTACAATTCCCTTACCAATGAAATGCATCCGTAGCCACCTAGCCTCTTTAAAACAAACCTCGGCACCAACA